ATTTTCCGGTGCACATCTTTCTGTTACTGATGTTAAAACCCAAAATTTATTATAAGTAGTCCATTTTTGCGAATGATGACCAAATATGGGAAGACAAGTAAAAAGTGAAAATCTCATTCCCAACTTCAATCATAGAAATTAATAGACTGAAAACTTCCAAAAACTGAGATGAATGATACATTCATCCATGAATTTTTAACTTTTTTCAAGCTATAGAAATCTCTTGATAATATGTGCTCCTTCGAACAGCTATTTCACACAAACCAGGCGTTGGGTGCCCCGGGCTACCACATGAAAAGACTGAAGGTCCACCAGATGTGCTAAATATAGGACTTTGAGTCTCTTGGTTAAACATTCGATTCTTAAGGATTAGTATAATAAACATTGAAGGTAAAACCCAGACAAGAGTAACAATTGTTACCCCGTAGACTCACTTTTCAATAAGGCGATTCCTGGGGGCTGTATAGGGACGAATTGTTGCATACATCTGATCCAATGAAATTACTGCAATGTTTGTAAGAGAGGTCAGAGGAAACCAGACGAAGAGAAAGCCAGTTGTTAATGTCAGTTCCAGGGTTAAGTGCGGAAATTGAACAATGTCGCATAAGTAGAGAGTATAAGGTTACAAATAGAGAAAAGTGAGAAAATCCTCCGACAAACAAATCAACTATGGTCAGGTTTATAACTAGGTACATGGCACGAGTGTGAAGACTGCGGTTTTTTGTAAAAAGAACGATTGATAGAAGGTTCACTGTAAGTTACTATAGCAACAGACATGGTAAGGAATACAGCGAGCCAGGTGATGCACTCGGATGATATCATGGCTTGTTATTTTGTTCGCTTCACAACTTTTAATTCCCTTTTACTCTCTGTTGCTTGTCTACCTTTCAGAACAATTTGAAAAAAAATTCAATTAAGAACGTGGACAAAGAAGGTTGATGTTAGTTCCGCAAAGATCACTAATGGAGATACGGTACATTAGGACGCTGATCGACGGTATCGGTTGTTGGGACAAACGGTTTAATTAGTTTTTATTCTGCATGCGTCTCTGCTGAAACAAAGGAAGTTTAATGGTGTTTTCCTGTTTTTTAAGCTATGAAGGTTATCATAAAAAATGAACTCTTGATTTTGAACAGCGAATGGTCAAGGAACTTTTAGTACTACTGCTAAGAAAATATCATATAGTTTTTCTAAGTTGATGCAAACTATGCGATCAATTTCACTCGGTTAACGGAACTAAAATTTCTCATATGAAAATATGAAAAGGACGTCAGTCGTTTCCAGCTCGGCTAATCCCTGTTTTTCAATATTGCAAATATGTATGGGCATATATCATGAGTGAGGAGCGAGAGAAACATCTCGCTCCTTGAACACAACGCCCCGTCTTTCTCAAAAATTCTATTATAATCATTTTAGGATATCAGTTTTAAGATTGTTTTTAAAACTTGCAAATGCTTTCTAAGAAGCACTATAAAATTTTTTACTGTTTTGTAATTCTGAGTCTCCTTTAGTCTATGCGAATTTAATACCTCCTTCTTATTACTCTTCCAAAAATCTTTAATGCTAGATAATCTTTTACTGAAAACTCAACATTTTGCAATACTTCTTTCCGTGACTACTTCCGAAGCCAAAATTTTAGTAGTCCTACTTAACGAATGATTATCAAACTCGGGAAGTCACGGAAAGGTGAAAAACCAACTTCAGAACGAAATCGTAGAAAAACAATGGACTAAAACCGTCGAAAATTGAGATGAATGGAACATTTTTCATCTAGAATTTTTTTTCTCGAGCTTTAGAAATTTCCAGACAATTATACTGTGCTTCTTCGAATTATAGCTTTTCTACACAAAACATTCAACCGTTGAGTGTCCCTATACCACTTCACGGAAAAGGTCGCAAGGTCCTATGAATGTCCTAAACATTGGTTAAGTAGGACTTAGGTTTAAAAATATTCGGTTCTTAAATAAATGCGCAACCCTATGATACCGTAGTTAAACCTTTTTCTCAAGTTGCATTTTGTTTTCTTCTTGTGTGCAACTAACCTTTCACAAAATTCCGTTTGCTGGATGTCTCAACTGACAAAGCGGAAAAAAAGACTTTGTGAAATATCAGTTAGGCTTGTAAGCTGAGGCGTCTGCGTTGGATGTTACTCCGGCAAAGAATAATCTTCCGAATTCCGGCTCGATAAATACGGTCTTAAAGTTATCTGTACACCAGTTTTGGGAAAAATTGCACTAAAGATAAAATACTTTTAAAATAATTGCCTTTGCTTGTAATTTTTTCCGCATAACGAATATATAACACGTTCTAAAACAAAACGCGATATTCTAAAACGCTAAAAACTCGCAAATAATTGAATATTTTACCAAATATTATACGTCCCTGGAAAATTTGAGCTGAATGAGGCAAATTTTTCCATATACTCAAAGGTGTTTTGGAAAAGATTGTCCTTAACTTGCACTCTCCTGTATTGAACACGATGAGATGATTAG